ATAAATGGCCTTCCGCTGTGGTGATTACGGAGACTAGTCTTGAGTCGAAACCTATCAAAGTTAATCTTGCTCGATCTACCGTGGAAGAGGACGTTTTAGAACGATTTTCTCGCCTATCAACTGCTGTCCGCGCCATTGCTTACGCTTTTCGATTTGTCCGAAGAACCCATCCGGAGAGTAAGAAGTTGGCCCACTTTGAAGGTATAAAGCTTTCTTCCAAGGAAATTAGTTTTGCCCGTTATCGTTTGATGTCTTTGTCTCAAAGAATTCACTTTCCCTCAGAGTATGATTGTCTCACGAAAAATAAACGACTGGAATCAGGCAGCCCTCTACTTTCTCTAAATCCTTTTTTAGACAAGGATCAACTTATTCGGGCAAATGGGCGCTTAAGTTCCTCCCTTAGCCTCTCGTATAACGAAAGACATCCAATAATTTTGGCTTATAGAAGCCAATTTGCCAAACTCTATGTCGATCACGTTCACAGGCAGACAAATCACGGAGGCATTCAACTTACTCTCGCCACTATCCGACTCGAATGTTGGATCATCAGAGGGAGAAATTTGGTGAAAACCCACTATAGATCATGTACTCGGTGCGTCTTGGCTCAAAGAAAACGACAAACTCAACTGATGGCGGCACTTCCTCCCATAAAAACTTTTAACGGTAGAGGTTGTCGCATTTCGAAGGGTTATATCTGTTTGTTCGTATGTTTTACAACAAAGGCTATCCATTTGGAACCTGTAAGCGATCTGTCCACCCCTGCCTTCATGGCCGCACTTTCTCGATTTATAGCCAGACGTGGGTGTCCTCTCAATATGTACTCGGACAATGGCAAAAATTTTGTGGGTGCTGATCGAGAACTTCGGGCTAACTTTATGAAGATTGTCTCAGAAATTAAGGAAGATGCCGTTACTCGATACGGATTCCAAAAACTAGAATGGCATTTTATACCTGCCTCAGCTCCCCACATGGGTGGTCTCTGGGAAGCCGGGGTCAAAAGTTGTAAAAGTCACTTGAAGAAGATCGCAGGGCAGATTAGACACACTTTCGAAGAATTTTCGACTATACTAGCCAACATAGAAGCGTGTCTAAATTCTCGCCCTCTTACTCCTCTATCCGAAGATATTGATGACCTCAGTGCCCTTACTCCAGGACATTTCCTAATTGGAAGTTCGTTACTTTCCCCAGCTGAACCAGAAGAGGTCGAATGTAAATCATCTTTATTGAACCGGTGGCGACGTTTGAAGCTGATTTCTCAAGAGTTCTGCCATCGATGGAAGTCGGAATATCTCAAGGAGCTTCACAAGCGCCCCAAATGGAAAAAAATCCAGGATGATTTGCGTTTAAATGACTTAGTAGTGGTACAAAATGACGCTCTTGCCCCAACTGACTGGCGTTTGGGTCGAGTTATAAAATTACACCATGGTCAGGACGCTCGAGTACGTGTTGTGGACTTAAAAACCCAATGTGGTATTATCTCTCGCCCGGTCCACAAATTAGTTGTACTTCCTCGCTCAGAATAAATTCTGCTCCGAATTCCAGCCAAAATGGTCCCATGATGTCTTGCCCTACGCAATTGTATTATTAACTACATTTCCCTTCCTTGCAGATGAGCTACAATGACGACTTCAAATGTCCTCTTTGTCATACTCGACATTCCTTGCGGCACTGCAGAACCTTCCTCCAGTTAGCTCCCGAAGGAAAAGCTGATTTTGTGCGCAGATCGGGGTACTGCAGTAATTGCCTCGGTATGGGTCACCGTATCGCCTACTGTCCCTGGCAAACCGGGTGTCGTGTTTGTAAACTCGCCCACCATACACTGATGCACCCCTTGGAAGCGAGCAAATTATATTGGACAAAGATGACAGCGGAGGCGTTTCTGCACAGCCCTGGCAAAATAGAACCCGCAGTAAAAGTCAGGGTCCTGCTCAACCCTATGGCCCAGGATAGCTGCATCTATTTAGGTCATCCTCTGCCAAAATACAATCCTCAATTTGGCCCTTTCTTCAAGGTGGTGCTGACTTCGACGAACAATAATGTAAGGACGTTTACAACGATAGTTCGGGTATGCGAGTCGGACCGTCCCATGGAACCATGGCATTACCTCGACGTCAGCCGTGTATCATTCACTTACCCGAGAAATGTGGTAGCTGACACGAAGTTTTATCGACCTGGCCCAATAAGCGTCGTTTTGGGGAAAGATGCAGCTGACGGCATATACATGGGACTGCCTATCTTGGAACCAAATATGCCTTATGTCCAAAACACGATTTTTGGTTGGACCTTTTTTGGAGAAATGCCCAAGAAGAGTTAATCATTGTACCATCCAGGCTGGATTCTGGTGAATTCCTTTTTTATGTTATATTAACATTTATACAAACACATAATTTAATTAGTTTAGAGACTTGAATTTATTTTGTTTTTTTTTACAAGTTGGGAAAGATCCCAACGGGGGGAGGATGTTTATGGGGAAATGTAAAGTGGGCAACACCGAAAAAAAATCCCCATAAACGTCGCCCGCTCCGCCTTTTTTTGACGGCGGTCACTGGTAACGACACGACACAGGACACTTATCATTTGTTCTTCTTTTGTTATTTTTTCGTTCGGTAGTGAATTTTGTGTGATCGGTCATTACCAGTGCAGCCGTCAGCAGAGATAAAACATAAAACTAAAACTGAAAGAAGAAAGAAAAGTGAAATAAGAATAAAAAAGAATAGAAACTAAAATCATTTGGATAAAAACTAATATAAACAAAATACCATAGTAATAATAAAAAGTAATAGTAATAAGTGGATGAATTCAAATAAATAAAACAAAATCGAAGGAAAAAGCGAAGAAAAACTGTGCGGTTATTTATTTGAAAAAGGCGGTTCCAGGCCGATTTGCCCAACATCTTCCCCGCAGACAGCTGCTAGTAGACGACCACGACTAGGACAACAAGCCATCCGTACCCAGGCAATTTCCAGCGTGACAATCGTAAGTAGTTCTCAAACAACAGGTGGGAACCAGGTTGGCCAGGGACGAGTGGTCCGTGGTGGTTAACCCTAGAAAGGTTGAGGAGTACCCCCAACATACCGAAAATTTTGAGGTACACTTATATCGGAGCTATGCCTAAACGTGGACCGATAAAGCCCGAACTTGACCTGCCTGCAGACAAAAGACGACTCCATGCAAAATTTTGGCGATCTATCTCAGTTCATTTAGACGCTAGAGTGATTACAACAGACAGACAGACGGACATGGCTATATCGTCATAGAATTTTACGGTGATCAAGAATATATATACTTTCGGAAATGATTATTTCGATGAGTTACAAACGGAAAAACAAAATTAATGTACCATAATGAAGGTTTGTAACGTTCCACATATATATTTGAAGATTTAAAAGGGAAGAAAAATAATTTGCAAAATTTTTTGTTGTTGTTTTTTTGTGATCAAAGAAAAGTCCTTATTTTTGATGGCGGGCATGATAACTTCTCACTGGAACATCGGAATCCGAAAATTCCAACGGTGTTAGAAAGAGTACATGCTCTCGTATGAACTAGGATTATTGACTTCGCACAACAATTAACAAAATGGCGGAACTTTCAAAAATTTTTTTAGACCACAAACTAGAGAAACGTGTAAAAATTTGGAACCGATTGGATTATTAGTTTTTGAGATATCGTGCCTGCTTCGAGAAAAATGCGTTTAAAGTTTGAGAATCAATCTTGCCGTCACTTGATACTGACACAATAAATCGGCTATATTTTTAAGAGCTTTTGAGATTTTCACTTGAAATTTTGTAGGGACATTCTAGCGATAGAGTAGATTCGAATTAAATTTTAATGGGGGTCCCCTTTAAGTACAAACGTGTTTAATAATGAATACCTCTTATATGTTCCTATTAATAAAAAATATATTTATATATATCTAAATGTGCGTATTTAAATGTTTGAGGATTTTTCTGACAGCCCTGAGACGGACACGCATAAATCGACATAGAATTTTATTCTGATCAATAATAAAAATACTTTATGTGGTTAGTAAAAACATTGAAGAGCTTCACTAAGAACATATAATTCTAGAAGCTTAAGAATATAAAATCCCATCAGTCGCATTCACTGGATTGTGTATGTCCTATTATTGGACTTTTAGTGATGTTAACCACCCCTTTTTTCAATCTAACAAAACCTACAAATTGTTGACCTTTAATCTAGATTTGGTGAAATAATGATCTGAAAAGTTAGGATAAAATTGGATTTTTCGTTTCGATTTCTGGGGACCTCAGAAGAAGGTGTCTTGAATATAATTAAAAATCTCCAATCATTGGATCTTTTAATTAAGTTCCATTCGACGGGATGTGCTCTGAGACTTTGGAAACAGAAACGTGGAGATTTTCGCATATTAAATACGCTCGTATTCTTAACATTATGAAAAATGTCGACTTTTTAGATATATACTTCTTTGATGGTATAAACGTGATTATCCTGGAAAAGTGGTTCCTGTCCTCTGGCTGGTCTATCAATAAATAATATGGTGGTTCCGATGTGAAGAATGTACTGGAAGAATATAACGAACATTGTAGGGTTTTTAGGTACAATATCTTAGCAAATTCGAAAGTGGTCGAAATAGTCAAAGTGCTTATAAGCTAGGATCGGTGACTATATATGTTGATAACCAGGAGGCACTTAAGGCTTACAATAAATTCAAAAGCGGTTCATGACTGTAAATTTGTTCTGCATGACTAACGACAAATTGTTAAACTTCCTGATTGAGGGAACTGAACGGCAAGTTCTGTAGATGTCCAGCGCTAGACAGCAAAAAATATTTTGTTTTGTCAAACATTTGACATGGTTATGCTAAAGTTTGGATGAAACTTCCTATGAGAATTATCGTTATTTGGTCCAAAGAAACTGGGGTTCTAAAACCTTTATTCCAACGAGGCATATTTTTGTCTAATAAGCTTATATGGTATTTGCATGACATATAGTTTCAAACTGGGCAACTTTATACTTACAAAAATCTTAAATCAGTTAATGAATATTCGCGATTCAATTTTCCCGAATCCTCAAAGGTTGAATACATATTGAAATCGCACAAAGGATAACAATCACAGATAACGTGTTCGGCATAGTAATTGTTCTTATAATCAGCTCTTTCAGTTTGTAGCACAGAACTATAGAGAACTAAAATTGAAAACCTAAATATTTTAATTTAATTTTAATATATATAAAAATATATTCCCTTACCTTTATACTTCAAAACACATTCCCTTTCCTTGAGGCCACAATATGGCCACTTCTCCCTTTTCGGCCAGTACGGCAGAGTACAACGACATTTTTCATACAGCTTCTGGGAACGACATTCCATTAAACAATTCACTTGGGAATAGGAACGAAAATGAAATAGTTTTCGTTCGTTAGGTAAATAACAACGACGTGATGGTAAATTTAAACTGCTTATATAGTCGGTAGATCGGGTTTGCTGTGGTGTTATACGAATATATTTTACTGCTCCAGGTGTTATGATACTCTCCAAACCATTGGTATTTGTGAAATCATATGCATCTCTGATGAATACCTTCAGACCGGCAATTTTTCGCTGTGTCAAATGATAATCTTCCAAATCGGGATTTATTAATACCGTTAGACCAGTTTGAGCACCACAACTGGTAGTGTATTCCTCATTGCTTTGAAAATCAACGCTGTAAATTAAATGAAATTGCAATTTGAAATCGAATATGTTATTTATGACACAAATGGAGAATAAATTGTTCTTGCGGAACTTCCCTATCGGCAACAGATCATGCAAACATCTTAAAAGATGTTTGGATTTTTTTCTTTATAAAAATCTTTATTCACTTTTGTATGGTTTCATACTAATGGTACAATAGTATGAAATCGTACAAAAGTATGTATGTAGATCTAGACCGATTTAAGAAAATTGTTTTGATATTCATGAAATTTGTACATTATTTCGTAAAAATTGTGCCTTTTTCACCATTAAAGATTTTTATTCGTATTCTATGAGAGGTTGTACATGGAAAAATAAACTATGGACTTATAAAAAATTTCATTAAAATTGTTCTCTGTATAATAATTTGCCAATTAAATACACTGATTACCCTTTATCATATTTCAATTTTCCCATATGTGCATTGAAAGAACAACACATTCCCGATAAGGTGGGCACTTTTTGGAATATGTTTTGACAGCGTTCATGACTTCCCTTCCATTTACAACGCTGCAATAATGTTTCGCAGTTTGGTGCTATTTCATCTTGTAATTCAAACAATGTAATGTTATTCCTTTGGAGTAATAGGTCCAGTTGGTGATATTCCTCGTTGGTTGCCTTTATTGTTTGTGTGGCATAGAAAACCAAACGAAATAAGCGAATCAATTGGGGTTTGGTCAAATTACTATTGCGTTGACTAGAAATAAAGAAATCTACGTTTATAAATATTTACGATTTTCTTTCCATCTGAAACATACAATCTCTCAGCCATTATATTGACTTTTGTCTTTGACATTAAATTCATGTTGCAAATGGTGACCGCTGGAAATGGTATAATCCATGTGGGAAATTGTGTACTCTCAGTATAGAGAATTGTGGGTGTATTGGTATTCATTAAATGTGACAGCAGTAGAATAAATCCTGACATTGCGATGGCCACAAATATTACAAAACACCAAAATGCTCTTTGAGCTGTAGTAGAGCCAACAAAATTGATGAAACCATGTATACTGGCCATTTCACAATAGATTTCAAATCCAGATTTCCGTTTACACAAGCCATCATCGTTGCGTGCCCTTAAGAAAGATAGAAATTTTGGTAACTTCAATGAACCCCAACGCCTTCTGCCATATGATGTCTTATGACGCCATTTGGCTATTAATTGTTTTATTCTACGTATTTGTTCTTCACTTATTCCAGCCAATGGGCTACATTGTTTTTCAGGAGTTCGTAAAAATGTTTGGGGTTTTGTTTTCTTAGTTTTTTGTAGGAATTGTTGTGTTTTGTCTTTTAATATTTGCCATTTAGATTTATGTCCTTCCACCAATACTGGATGTTGCAAGAGTTTTAATCGTAATTCTGGCTTTTCTTGCCGAAAAATATGCTTATCAGCATTTCTTGCATTCAAATAGCTTTCAAATTGAATATAGTAAATTTTTTGCTTATTTTCGATTTGTGGTTCAATTTTATTTGTTACCATTTTTTATAGAAATTCACTAGAACTTTTTGTGCGATATACTTCTTAAATTGTTGAAACTAGAATGACTATTTCCAAAGAACAAAATCCCTTATTTTATAGGTTTTCGATAGAAGTATTTTAGACCTTCCTTTTCGATGTTAAAGATGATTATCAACACACATACACAGGCAACAATTGTCAGTTGCCTAAAAGTATGCTATTATTTTATGTGCATTAAGGCGTTTCTAAAAAATAGCCACAGCTGTGTTTTTGTATGGCTACATAAAATATTATTTGAATATCCTCCACCATATCATGGAGGGTATATTCAAATTGTACGCATTCTTATATCATCCACCATAAGGTGGAGTGTATAATAAATTTGTTATTCTGTTTTCAAAACATTGAAATATTCGGAGACCCCATAGAGTGGGGAACTTAGTCCACATTTGGAATAGACCCCATATAATGGTACCAACCAAATATGGGTCCAATTTTTTGGGTAGCCTCCATATAACCGTACATATATATATATATATACTATATCAAAATTCGATTTGAACTAAACTTGCCAGTACGTAGAGAAGCATTTAAAACCAACTTCTAGGTTATTCTAACTCCAGTATGTTGTGAAAAGTTTGTGTAAATTTTGTGTAAAATCGGACGACACCATTTACATTAAATCGGGCGAAGAAATATATGGGAGCTATATCTAAATCTGGACCGATTTTCACGAAACTTAACACACATCATTCCAGACATAATTTAGCTGTGCCAAATTTCGTGCAAATCGAAAGATATATAGGGACTTTGGTACAGCATTTACAAAAAATCGTACAAAAATATATGGGAGCTATATCTAAATCTGACCGATTTTCAGGAAACTTCACACACATCATTGTAGGCCTTATTCATTACGCTATACCAAATCTCGTGCAAATCGAAAGATATATAGGGACTTTGGTACACCATATACATTAAATAGGACGAAAGTATATATGAGAGCTATATCTAAATCTGGACCGATTTTCAGGAAACTTAACACACATATTGGGGCTATATCTAAATCCGGATCGATTTTCAGGAAACTTAACACACATCATTCTAGAGCAATTTCATTACGCTATGCCAAATTTCGTGCAAATCGAAAGATATATAAGGACTTTGGTATACCATTTACATAAAATCGGACGAAAATATATATGGGAGCTATATATAAATCAGGATCGATTTTCAGGAAACAAAACACACATCATTCTAGACCTAATTCAGTACGCTGTGCCAAATTTGCACGAGCAAATCGAAAGATATTTAGGGACTTTGGTATACCATATACATTAAATGGGACGAAAATATATATGGAAGCTATATCTAAATCTGAAGCGATTTTTCCCAATTCCAATAGGGCCAAACAAATGAGCTGTGCCAAATTTCATCCAATTCGGATCATAAATGCGACCTGTACTTTGTTCACAATTTAACATGGGCAGACAGACAGACGGACATGCATAAATTGTCTTAAAAATTCTATGCATATTCTCAAAAGGAACCATGTGTCTATCTCGTTTCCTTTTGCCTGTTACGAACATATGCACAAAGACATAATACCCTGTACCACCGAGTGGTGAATGGTATAGTCATGCATTTTTATCATGGTATAATAATAGAAGGTAACAGCAAGTGTTGTTGTACAAAAAACGATACAACAACCACATGGAAATTTGTTGTTGTAAGTTCTACTAGCGTCAACTCATTTGACAGAAAAATTTAAACAAAAAAAAAAAATTTATAATCAAATTATTTTTATTTTGAAAATGAAATATTTTCGAATTCTCAAAATAAAAATTGAAAAAAAATGAATGAGCATCTATCAAATTTATATTTCTATCTATTCCACATTTTTCCTATAATTGAGCCATTGCCATATATATGTGTAACACGTATGAAAATGCTGGGAATAGCGAGTTATTCCTTGAAGAAAGATTTGCTTCCTCAAACTTTCCCAGCAGGCAGATTGAATACAGGAACACATTTAATAAAGAATAATTTTAAATTTTATGCGTTCCCAATTTTCCTGATGGGTGATTTTTTAAAACATAATTTGTCAAATTCATATTGACACTAGTATTACGTTGGAATCAAATCAGCTAGGATTTGCTGTTACCTTTTATAATTGTACCATGCATTTATATGAATGTTGAATATTTTTGTACGCCTCGTTGGAATTTAGATAATACCATAGACAGACGACAGCCTTAATTCGCATTAAAAATTTCTTAAGTTGAATTAATATTTACCCCTGACAGACGAGAGTTTCTGCATTTACGAAACAGTTTTTGCTTCAAAACAATTGTTTGTCTGTGTGTAGGATGAACATTTTTACATTTGTTTCGATATTTTTCGGGATTACATCTCTAGGAAATAGATACATGACATAAAGGAGGAATAGCACCTATTATGATCCTAGCAAAACAGTTTTAAATTAAAAAAATGGTTGAAATTTGCCTTCATTTCTTATTTTTATTTTCATAAATATAAATAAATTTGACAAGAAACAATTAATTTTCGACAGCATTGCCATATTGAAATTGCCTAATTCAGTATAAATTCAGTTCGGTTTTGTGCATTAACAACACATAAAAATGACGATAATGTACAAGTTAAATTGAATTAAGGCTGTTAATGCAAATTAAGGCTGTCGTCTGTCTAGGCTATAACGTTGTTAGATATTTTATAGATATATACCCTCAGCTTTTGGTATGTTTGGGAGTTACCATAAGGAATGACCCCCCCTCGGCGGTCTTGATCTAAGTTTGGTTAAAGTATAGTTGGTATAAAATCAGACAGAATTCGTTCAATATTGGACTTATAAATATTCAAAATATTGACCCTTTGTGGAGGTGTTAATAGAAGGAGTTAACTAATTTTTTAAAAATTTGTAGAGCCTTCGAGAGTTATTGAAATAAAGCGAACTCAAATTGTCTGAATGGGATTTGATCCGAAGAAACTTCGGGCCCAAAACCGATATTGCGGTGAGACAAAATTTTTTCCTAGCCATAAGGCTGAGGATATAACATGTAAACACCGTGAGGACGACATTCAAAAAATAGTAAAATAATGGGGGGCTCCTAAGAGAAAACTGATAGAACCTTGAACATAACGAAAAAGACGTGAAATATGGATTTATATTTACAATTTTTGGTAGTTCAATTTGACAGCCCATGAGAATACAAAATACGAAATTACAACCAATTCGGTTGAAAACATGTCTAAAATTTTCAAAATTCTGACCTTGGTCAATATTAATAATTTTTAGCAGGGAGAAGTGAGGTGTCGTAATATGGGTTACCCTCAATAATATGGGATACCCTCAATATTAATAACTTTACAAGGATGTGCTATACAATGAGAACCCAAAATACCAAATAACATTAAATTTTATTTAAAAAAATCTGATCCAAAATCCGCAAAATACCAAATATTGGGGGAATGTTATACATTTATCATTTTTGGTAGAGAGATATGTTATACAACGAGAACCTAAAATACCAATCGACAACGGCTACGTTGAGGACTTTCGTGTTTGATTTCTATGTGTATTTATTAAAATTTATAAAAGTCCAATAATTATAAAATTATAAACTGTATGGGCTTGAAAGCAAAGTGTTCAAAGGTGTCCCTCTCCCCTGTATATGTATGTCGGTAACTCCTACTCTTTTTTTTTGAAGTTAAGTACATTGTTTGCTATATTAAGTTCTGTGTAAAAATTAGACTGATAATCTGCTCCAGTAGATATCGGATATAACCACATCTCTTTTTTACATCTCCTCAGTGTAAACTTTGCTTCATATAAGAAAAACACTGATATACGAAATGTTTGTCAAACATCAAAGTTGACAAAGGTATTTGAAAACGTTTCATATAAGAAAATATGTACGATTTTTTTTATCAGCGTGATAACTCCCTACTCCAAGGAAAAATAAAATACTTTGTTAATTCTATTTGAAAGAATATTATTTATGTGTATGGAAACACATGCACCTATTTTTAGTCAAACTGTGAATTGATTTTAATTTAGAAATTTTGTATTTTTATATGCTGCATTCTTTTGTTCAATAAAATGAAACGTGGTAAAGGGTATAAAAATGTCACATGTTTCGTGACTAAAAAACTAGATGTCGCTGTTTGCATTATATTGCTAACAAAACCCGTATTCGTACAGATGGTGAAGGTATGTTATTGTTCTAATTAACAGGAAATGTGAAAATTGTATTTCTGAGTTTCCCCAGTTTATTTTTGATGACTGTATTATCAAAATATATTGGTATGTTCCCGTACTGCAAGAATCTACAACTTTTTACTACGATAACGAATTTTCCTTTATGATATCGAAGAAAGTAGTAAGATCTAGTAGATTGTTGCAGTAAGGGAACAGACGATATGTATCAAATTCCAAATTCTACAAAAAAGTTATGCCATGTTTTGATGGGCATTCGAACAACGTAGTTTGCTCTCAGACTTACGTACATGAATTACACGTTCATACAACACTATTCTCAATTCATGTCATCAATATTTATTTTTTTCAAACTTTTTGTTTCTTGTTTTACAACAAAATTGTAACAAATTTGCGTGAATCACATATAGATCTAAATAGAAAAAATAATTCTCTTTCTCCTGACTATAGTCCTGACTATAGTATGTTTTCCATTTTTCCTGAAAATATTGTTGTTTTCATTCATTTTTATATTTTTAAATTCAAATGTCACATACAAAAATTTGGAGAAATTTTTGTTTGAGTTTCCCCACATTTGTGTCTTGTTTTGTACGCTAATTAGAACCAAGGGGAAAGAAGCTCACATTACATTATGTAGAAAACAAAATCTACATCCTGCTGCATATATAACAACTATACAATTTGTTACATTTTCAATTTTACTGAAAACGTTTGAAAATATTATAAATATTTTCATGTTGTCAAAATTAATTTATTTTCGATAAATTCTCTCAATTGTTAGGGA